GTGTGTGTGTGTGTGTGTGTGTGTGTGTGTGTGTGTGTGTGTGTGTGTGTGTGTGTGTGTGTGTATATATATATGTATACACACACATAGAAGAACAACAAAGCTGGACAGGACTCTACACAAGTAGTGAAGAAAGAATAGTTGTTGACATAAATATTATATAAATATATATAAAAAGCATGAATGACCAACAATAGACTAAAAACAAATGTGTTAGTACTGGAGTTGATCCGTAATACTGACGCTCTCCAGATCACAGATCTTCAGTAAAGATGAGTATTGGGCGAAGGTAAATTATCATTTTATCATGATGTGTTCAAATGTAACCTTGTAAAATGTAGTTTTGGTGAGAAATGCTGTTGTTTGAAGGAGACGTTTTCACAGCAACATAAAATAGATATTACAGAGGGAATTAACTTACAAGCTTATTATACATTAAGTGTTCTTGAAGTTCTTTAATTAATAAATGGAAAGCAAAGTTATATTTGTCTGCTCCCCTTTACTTTGTTGATCCAAAAAATTATCCGAACCGTGAGGTTTGTGATCCGTTGCACCCCTAGAATCTGCCAATAGGGATTATCGACGATCCACAATTGCTATCGGCGGAAAAAACGCTGATGTGGCCATCTCTAAAAGTGATATTTGCTCCCTTTTTTTCTTTTGTGATATTCTTTGTTTTTGGTCTTTTCGCTCATTGTTTTGTAATAAACTGGTGCTCCTAACACCCTTATGATGTCATGACCAGGGTATTACGTTTATTAATCCGCATAACATTACAGCCCTTTGTTGTGGTTTCTTTCCCGTCGTTGATGATCAGCTTCTTTGACTTTGTGACTTATGTTGAACCTTAATACCTAACGGCTGGCCCAGCAGCTGTTATCTGACTCGTGGTGAGACACCACAGGATCTCACTATTAGGAACTCAGTAACGAACACCCACAGAACACAAGAGAGATTAGATTTGCTTCAGTTCACGCAGATTTATTTGCATCACAAAGTATACAAGTAAACCAAGCTCTCCGGAGTCAACTAACCTCACAATGGAAATGTACATCACTTTATACCCTCATTCTGCCCTATGTCTTGGTCCCCTCCCCTTCCCAGGTTTGCTGCTCTGCTCTAAACTTTTACCCAGACAAGTTACACTGTGTACCTTGGACATGTCAAAACAGAGGATACTGGATTTAGATATTTGAGTAGTTGGTCTTCTTCCTCTAATGTTCCATCTGGCCATCGGCCTAAAGGACCAGCGCTTGTCTTCCCCTGTAAAATGACTACGGGCTCCAAGGCTGTTACCCTTGTACATCATTGTGAAGCTGTTCTGACTTACAGAATGAACTATGCATTTATCTGCGTGGAAAAAGTTGCAAGGTTGATGCGGTCAAAAGAGCATAACCACCCTGCCTCAGTGATGTGAATTGTTACAAAAATTCACTCGAGCCGATGTAAAAATCATTAATCACAGGACATTTATTCTTGCAAAAAGGAACAGAGTTGAATCACATACGAAATGTAGCTCAAGGCTGCTCGAAGATCTGTCTCCGAGCCTCTGATATTTATACTAAGTAAACATATGCAATGGGCTGGCACAGGGTACTTTGCGTCACAAAGGATAACGCACACGAATTGCCTTCATACAGTGTAGTCTACGTATCTGGAACATCACTTTAACAATTCGTTCTAGTACAAAGGTCACTTTCTCGTAAGTCATGGGGCAAATCAGCCAGGCGTAAGTATTGACGCCTCTACAGGTTTATTATGGCTTCTTTAGGGTAAACAGCTTGAAATGTTCTTTCTTTTTTAAGATAGGACTCCCTGTCTCGCGTGACAACTGGCATACATGAAACATGGCTCCTGTCACAGGAGCCATGTTTCATGGATGGATAATGTATGCCAGTTAGGCGTGAAAGCCACAACACACCTAGAAGTTTCCATTGTTTGTGTCACCCAGATGCTCAAACCACAGGATGCTGCCTTTACGCTTTTTAGGGTCTCACCTCTCGCTCCTCAGACATAAAAGTGTTGGATAGCGTCACAGTTCATCTGCAGTATGCAGCAAAACTACAGTTTCACCTTGTTGCAGGTATTTGTTTGATCCACAATTTCAATAAGTCGATTAATCTTTTGGTGTATCAATTATTTTATAGCGAGATAGGTTTTGGGTGTAGTGGGTCTCGGTTATTATTGGTCGATACCTCAACAGTAAGTAAGGATTTGAAAGGATAAGCATCTTTTTCCATTCCACAGACCTTTATCCCTTTGTGTGCTCTTATCTCGTGTTTCCTCTTCTGTTCACACTTCCTCTGGGCCAAGGCAGCATCTGATCAGCTTTGACCTCTCTGTTACATTTTTTACCTCACATTCATCCCCAGAGAGGGGGTATATTTAGAATTATTCGTGGGCATTGATGGAGGAAATGTACGTTACCACTAATGAATGAATATGAGAGGGTTTGTCTATAATGTTATTATGGACAGCCACACCTATGGGTGTGGTGGTGGAATGTCACTGTAACAAACTCTTGCTACCCCTGTGGGTCCTGGGACCACAAGTACGCCAGCACACGGTCAAATAGTGTTCTCAAACGTTCTTTATTCAGTTACAATGTCAGGCTGGACTGGGCCGTGCGCTCTGCTGCCTTCCTCCGAGCGCACGCCGTGTGGGTTTGCTGAGGTCTGCCAACTTCTCTGTCACTCTGCCAGCCTAATTACGCCTCTTCCCTGAACCACTCCCCCACTCTGTCCCCTCTGCAGCTGAGCCCGAACACGCCCCACCACCACAGTCACTTATTTGATACCACTAAAATTCATGTTCCCAAAAAATGTCCTGCTGCTTTTAGTAACATTTGTTAAAACACAACTGTAGGAAATGACTTTGCCTTTTTTTTAGAGAATCAAATCAATGTTTGAAGATGTACTTCTTCAGTAGGAACCAGAGAGCACTGAGAGACATTTCCACACCGCAAAAATGTCATTGTTTCCACAGATGAAGTAACCCGTGACTATACGTATGGAGAGACGGACCCCCTGGTGAGGCGATGCCGTCTGTTACCATGGATACCTGCCGATCTAGAAGGGGTCAGCAGTGTCACGACTGAGCCCCCTGACTCGTACTACAAGGTGAGGAGGACTATCACCGAGGTTCAAGAAATACAATACAATGTTTCCAATTCTGCTTCTTTTTTCTCAAGTCCTGGTTCAGATAGTTGTGATATTGTTTGAATGCAGAAAGGAACTCAAACACCTGTATTTATATTCACAATCAGCTTTATTGGCCTTATTGGAATTTGACTCCGGTTTTCACATTGCTCTCAACGTACATACATGGAATATACAAATCAACAAGAAAAATATAAAAACAAGAACATTAAACACAACAAAGTAAAACAGAAACTAAGCATAAACATTTAACTACTATGTACAATATAATTATAAATGAACAATGACAATGGATTTGGGATATTAGTGCAGAATGGTGGTAATAGTGCAAATGGAGGTACAGTATGTCTGATTAATTGTTCATGAGAGTGACGGCCAGCGGAAAGAAGCTGTTCCTGTGTCTGGTGGTTTTGGCGTACAGTGCTCTGTAGCGCCTACCAGAGGGGAGGAGTTGGAACAGCTTGTGTCCAGGGTGTGAAGTGTCTGCAGTGATCATTCCAGCCCGTTTCCTGACTCTGGATGTGTACAAGTCCAGGATTGGAGGGCAGGCTGGAGCCAATAATTCTCTCTGCAGACCTGACAGTCCATTGTAGTCTGTTTCTTGTTTTAAGGAGAGCTTTTATCCAATCAGATTTCGCCCCTATGTCTCTAGGTAAGAAGAGAGCCCCGAGGCCCGCTAGGAAGCTATACAGTTTAAGTGAATGGGCACGATATTGTTGATTGTCATAGTCTTCAACCAATCAGATTTTTAGTTTGACATGTTGGGCATATTCTTTGACATGTCAGAGCTTCCTAGGTGGCCTACAAGTACGTCAGCATTAATGTGCAGCTCAGCATTAACGTGCGCCGTGATTGGTCAGTGGGTTAGCGCGACTGTTGTGAAGCTGAAAGCTAGCTAGCAGAACGTAGTAGTAGTAGTAAGAGTTCAAGTGTAAAGATATGTAAGAAGTTATGACATTGACATGACGTTTTTTTCCGTTTTGCTTGGTGTAGCTTTGTTTTTTTAACACTCGATGGCTGAAGGAGGAGAAACGGATTTGGGAGTTACTGGCAACGCCTTTCTGGAGAAGGACATGTCCAGAAAAGATGGACATCGTAAGAAAGGGTCGGCCAACCCCACAGCTAGCAGCCCTGACCCAGCCAGGAAAATGATTTGTACGAATGGTATTCCTGGCTGACAGCGTCGGAGAAGCGTTGCACATTGTATGGCTAAGAATGCGTTTTATTTGCGACTGAGCATCTTGGTGTTTGGAGCTACGCTAGATTTGCTAACCAAGGCAGCAACACGACACCATAGCACGACAAGACACTTACAAGCTACTGTGCTTTTGAAAACTTTCGGAGAGACCCGAGTGGATTTACAGCTCAACGAACACGTTCGCAGGAGGACCTCTGACTGGAACTGAACTACTCCAATGTTCTGTACAACCGCGTCATTAAACTCTCTGTAATCAAATAAAGGAGGAAGTGAACTGCGTTTGTTTTACATCTGCAGTAGCGCTACTACTGTGTTCATTTGTCTATCATGTTGTTTTTATGATATGGTTAATATTGTTCCCTCTGATGTGAATAATATTTGAATGGCTCATGCTCTTCAGTGTGCGGTGGAATACGTGTTTAGCACCATAGTTTTGCTGGATTGATTTGTCATTGTTGTGGTTTCTATCTATGATAAATTTGTTGGACTTCAACTTTATATAAACTTGATACTAAAAGGCTGGCCTAATAACTGGTTGCTATCTGACTCGTGGTGAGATACCACAGGATTTTCACGAAGAGGAACTCTGTAATGAACACCCACAGAACATAAGACAGAGATTAAAGTTTCTTCAGTTCACGCAGATTTATTTGCATCACACAGAATACAAGTTGTCCGGAATCAACTGACGAACAAAAGACCTGCTCCTTATTTTATACCCTTGTTATCATTTTATTCTCGACCCCCCCCCCCCCCCCCCCCCCAATGTTCTGATGGCAAAGTCATCTCGTTCATGGTGTCATACATCTATGATTTAAGATCCCCCCACAGCTCTGGCAACTTGGGGGCTTTTGAGGCATCTGGTCACATGAGGTCTCTTATTTCTCTGCTAATACAGTTTGATTCGGCTGTACCGCTTGCCTCTGGGCCTAACTGGAACCTGGGCTATGAAGTCATAGTGTACCTATCTTCAGGTTCAATCAAGTCTTAAGAATCTTGTTGGGGTGATGTATTCTCTTCTTCTTTATCTTTACAATTAACACTATTTTAAAACCCCTGTTAGGGTGACATCATGCTTTCTTATCTTTTATGTCAACCAAACTTTATGACCTTGAAGAAAAAAAAACATTTCTCAGCTCACAAGTAGGAACTCCGACTTTGTTTGGCGTTCCGTTGTACTTTTTCCAGTAGGAAGTCAGACATTTATGAGTTGTCTGGAGTGCCGCATAACCAATTCACAAAGTCTTACTCATTACAAGAGGCTGTTCGGTCATCACTTTCCCCTGTGTCTGCTTCTCCAGTCCATTGCGTTGGAGAACAAGGAGCAGCTTCCTGTGGAAATCCAACCCTACACTGTGCCCGAGGACAAAATCCTCAAGTAAGTGTCTCACCCCAGCAGATTTTTTTGTCCTGAGTCAGAAATAGAAGACCACTTAGTCGGTCACATTCTCAGCTTTCCTTCGTTAAAACTAGGAGGGGCTTCAAGGAAAAAGGGGTTGGAAACCACTGCACTAAATGAGGCGTCTGGAACCAAGGGATGCTTTGAAAGCTTTTAATGGAAAGGGGATTATCCAAGAAGAGGTTTTTGCCCAACTCTCACGCTGGCATCCTGAGGAGTACTCTCCATGCACAAGGGGATTGGTGGAGGACAAATGAGCCTCATACCAAAATCACATTTATTCATTTACAAAGATCATCGCTAATTGCCACACGCAGTTACTGTGAAACCATTAGCGTTTGAAAGCAGCACTGACAGACTGGTCGACTAAATCCCAAATACGGTTTCTCTCCGTCACCTTTGAATTCCTCGCCAGGAATGCCTCTGCACCTCGCTGACCACCAGGCGGTGTCATTAACGCAGGATTTTCTGAAAATTGCACATGGTAACTTTTTAAAAGCTTTAACTTCCTTAACTTGTATAAAGGAGCATGAGGTCCTTTGTTTTGTCAGTTGATTCCGGACAACTCGGTTTACTTGTACTCTGTGTGATGTAAATAAATCTGCGTTAACTGAAGAAACTCCAATCGCTCCTGTGTTCTGTGGGTGTTTGTTACTGAGTTCCTTTCAGTGAGAATCCTGTGGTATCTCACCACAAGTCAGATAGCAAATAGTTATTAAGTTTAAGATAACGTTAAAGTCCAAGAAGTTGATCATAGCCATAGAAAAAAACCACAACAGTTTAAAGCTGCACTCCGTTTACAACAGTGTGTATAGCTGGCGCGTTCTTATAAGAGTCACAGAGCCCTGTGACTCAAAGTTACATATTTTAGTTTTTGGTCTTTTCGGGCTTTGTTTCGTAAGCAGCCTGTTATTGGGCCTTAACACCTTTTATGCCTTTAAAATCCATGGCCGGGGCATTTCGTCCCGTCCTACAGGATACAAAAAAAACTATATTCCGTTAAACACAAAAAAATATGTAATCAGATTACTGATACATTTAGTAAAAATTGGGATTGTAAAAAGGATTACAATTTTAAAATGTATTTCAAAATAAAGAACTATAAACTACTAGGCACATGTTCAGACACTTCGCAACACGTGTCTCACACGATGGCCTCTAACGTTGGTGACAAAAATGTTTTAATTAGTGAAAATGTTGCTATTATTTAGTATGTAAAGCAGAAAAAGGGGGAGCAACATCACAATTAGTACAGAGCAAGTTATGCCCTCCAGCTGTGGAAAATGTGCATGAAGTGTGAATAGCTAACGTTTCATTTAAATGTGCATAATTATTTTGCAGCCAGAGATAGTTTCACACATTCTCTCTCCTGCCAGTTAATCTTCTTGCCACAGAAGTATCTCGCCACTCACTTGGATTCCCAAACATCACTACTGCTTCAAATAAGCTTGAAATAAGACTGCAGCCTGGAAAACATTGTCTTATTGACATTTCTTTTCTCAAATTTTTTTTATTGAGGTAGTCCAAAAGTAACAAAAATTTATCACGTGTATTATGAAGGTATCAAAGCGTTGTGTGTTTCTTTCCTGTTGCGCCCATTGCCGTTGTCATTTCAGTGTTTTCCACATCTCTCCATCGTTCTGTGCTTTGCTTTCAGGGTTTACTCCAACATGTCGCAAGTAACAAACAACCTGACACACCCCCGGTTCCAGCTGACGGAGGAGGAGGAGGCTGATGTCGTTTGGAGCTATAATCACATCAAAGACTACAGGTCAGCAACACACACACAGCATATATTC